AGTGGCCCAAGAGGCGGTTGTGAGTATCCAGCCAGGCCTGGAGGAAGACAAGAGTTTGGAGAAGGGCCTGAGGCAGCTGGGGCAGCTCAGTACTTAGCCAGAGTCTCCTTGAGGAGACACTTGAACTCTTGCCCTCAGCTGATGCTTTTCCTTCTGGTTTTTTGTTTGCTTTATGCTGGTGATTGAACTCAGGGACCTATGCGCTATCAAATTATACTTCCAGCCCATTATTATTATTATTATTTCTACTATGATTAAAACATCTGAAACTCATGTTAGCCAATACTCAGCTATACTCTATACAGCCCTAGCACTCAGGCTAGTCTGGGCTACATAGCAAGATCTTGGACTCTTTTTTTTTTCTGTTTCTCTTTCTTTTTTAGACAGGGTAGTCTAAACTCACTGGTGCCATGAATGAACTCCTGAACCTCCTGTCTCCTTCTCCTGTGTGCACTACTATACCTGGTTTAAATAGAATATGTTCAAAGAAAAATAATTAATAAAACATTTCCTTCCATAGAGAAATGACCAAGTTTGGAAGCACACAGTAGTGTTTGTTTGGTGCTTGGTGCTGGGATGGAACCAGGGCCTTGAGCATATTAGGCCAGGGCTCTACTGCTTAACTTAATTCAGCTCTGTCAACTTCACACTGGTCCAGGACACCTGGTGTGCAGGACACCGTGTCCCCAGTCAGCATTCTGCAAGAAATATCACCTGTGCTTCTCTGTGTCTTGTGGGGCTCCTGTGCTTCTCTGTGTCTTGTGGGGCTGCTAAGCTAGCCAAGTACATCCACTCCTGCAATCCTGCTCCTCTGCATCTCAGCCACCACCACTGGGAGAACAGCGAGGACTCAACAGGCTTAATGCCATGCAGCCCCGTGCAAGTGACCAGGCTGTGGAGTCTGTGCCTGAGGCTTGACAAGTACTTGCTGCACAGGCCTGGCCTGGCTTTCAGTCACAGCTCTGGTACTTAACTACCATGTAACTGTTATTATTTTGTGTGTGTGCACACTGTATGTGAAGGCCAAAGTCTGATGTTGGGTGTCTTCCTCAATTGCTGTTTATCTTGTTTTTTAAAAGACTCATTATTGATTCATTTTTATATGTATGAGTGTTTTCCATGAATGTATGTGAGGCATTACACATATGAAGTGCCCACAGAGGTCAGAATACAGAGGCAGTGTCGCTGGAACTGGAGTTACAGGTGATTATGAATTGCCATGTGCCTGGGTCCCTTACAGGAGCAAGTTCTCTTGACTGCTGAACCATCTGTCCAGCCCTTCTGTCTTTTGTCAGAGAGGGTCTCTCACTGAACTTGAAGCTCAGTTTCAATTAGCAATTAGCCGGACAGCAGGCCCGAGGATCTTCCTGCCCCAGCCTCTTTCACAGTGGAATTACATGTGTGTTGCTGTACTGCTTTTTACGGTTTGTTTGAGACAAGGTCTCCCTCTGTAGCTCTGGCTGGCCTAGAACTCACTCTGTAGACCAGGCTGGTCTTGAACTCAGAAGCAATCCATCTGTCTCTGCCTCCCGAGTGCTGCGGTTAAAGCTGTGCGCCACCATGTCTGGGTGGATTTTGACTTGTGTGCATGGGATTTGAACACAGGTCCTCACTCTTGTGCAACAAGCACTCTGCTAACTGAGCCATCTCTCCAGTCCTCTAACATATAACCTTAGCCAGAGGCTTACTTATTTATTATTATTAGCTATTAACTGAGCCATCTCTCCAGTCCTCTAACATATAATCTTAGCCAGAGGCTTACTTATTTATTATTATTAGCTATTAACTGAGCCATCTCTCCAGTCCTCTAACATATAACCTTAGCCAGAGGCTTATTTATTTATTATTATTAGCTATTATTTTTTTGAGACGGGGTTTCTGTGTCACCCTAACTGTCCTGGAACTCGCACTGTAGACCAGGCAGGCCTCTAATTCAGATATCTGCCTGCCTGCCTCCCGAGTGCTGGGTCAAAAGTGTTCACCACTACCAGGCTTAGCCAGGGTTTTCTAACACTCTGCCCCTGCTAAAACATCGCCAAGCCTGCTGACAAGGGAATCACCCAACAGCACCTCTTCAGTTACTTCTGTGGCCTTTACTGTGCCTTACTCTCTACGCAGGCTTCATGCTGCTTCCTCTTCCTGCTTACATTTCTGAGGTTATTAAATCCAACATCTACTTCCCACTTTCTGTTGCTTTTCCCTTATCTTGACAATCGGGTTTGTCATTTTTACTTTTATTTTTTCAAGCAAAATGGGCTTGGTGTGGCAGCATAGGGCTATAACTTGAACAGTGAAGCAGGAGCCATGATTTAAAGGCCAGCGGGTCTACACAGTTAGTCCCAGGACAGCCAGGGAGGACTAAAAAGCAAAACAAGAACAAAAATAAACAAATAAAAATCTTTTAAAAAGGAAAACTGTCACCCAAAAGTCCTAAATTGAAGTGTGCATAGGGCCAGAGCCATTCGGAAGTGGGGCAAGGGCATGTGAGCTGTGCATTAAGTATACTGGACGACAGTTGATGCTATGGGACTGAATAACAGGGCTGCTGTGCAGCAAAGCCTTATCTGTTAGGAATAAAGGCTGGAATATTTATGGGAAAGCAGCACCACAGCTGGCATTTGTTTAGACCACTCTGGAGAAAAGAGAAAAAGCAGAAGGGAGCACTGGCTGGGCTGCTGACTGCTGAAGTTGTGATGAGTACACGGGAGTTCTAACAGTGACTGCCATGTGAAAGATGGAAAACTTCCTTCAAAGGGAAAAACAAATCCCACAAGAATGTCCACAGGGTTCTGGCAGGCCACAGGAGAGGGAGACGAGCGTCTGTTGGACACGGAGAACTGAAAATGTCTCCAAAGAAGCCAAGACAATTGGGTCCAGATGAGTTTTGTCAGGGAACTAGAGCCAAAAAGTTGTCAAACTTTGGAATTTTATTTTGGAGAGAAATTAGAATCCAGGATGTTTAGATGGAATTAATTGTACAATAATTGACATTTCCAAAAACAAAGCTCAAGCCAAGGAAAACATGTTTGCTTAGTTGAGCTGCTCAGATTGTAAACTTGAGACTTTTGTTAGAGTAAATGGGGAGGGCGGGAGGGGGATGGGGACAGGAGGAGATAGGCCAGACAGACACACATGCACGAGAACGTGAAGTGATGGGTTCAGAATCCAAAGCATGGTGACGGGACCAGCTCTTTCTCTCATTTTTTGAGACTGTTTTGGAACTCATAATTCTCCTGCCTTGTCTTCCAAATGCTGGGGTTACTGGTGTGTCCCACTATGTCAAAACTCCTTCAAGCTGTGTGGACTATGGGCAAAATGACTCAGCTCATCAACCCTGGGTTCTGTCACTAAAATAACAAGAATAATCCCCTCTTCGTTGTTCTGCAGATTAAGTGAAATCATGCTTAGCACAGAGGTTGGCACAATTCAACTATCCATCCATCTCCGCCTTCGACCTACTACTGCTATTCCGGGCATTGTACCACTAAGTAGTCTCCATCTGCGGCTATTCTCTGCATTGTGCCCAACCTCTCACCAGCATCTGTATTTCTAGTTACTCCTAGTGCAGTATCTTTTTACGCTGGCATTTCTCTGGTTGGTATCTCCACTACAATTGTTTGTGGAGAAGCCCAAAGGTCAAGCAACACTAGACTCCACCTCACGACAGTCAGTCTCCATACCACCAGAGCCCAGTGTCTGTCCTATGCCTGGACTCCATGCAGGGACAGTTGACCGGCCTCCAGCCAGCTATCAGAGTTAGACCCTGCCCTCTTAACCAGCACCTGGTGTCACCTCCTTGCACCTCTTCATGAAGCAGCCTGCCTCCATCTTAGGCTTGACACCATCTTATAGTAAAGACACAGTAGGTTGGCTCATTCATTCCTATTTTCGACTAAACCTGTTTCTCAGGGATTGGGCTATGCCCAACCTGGAACCTTAAATGAACTACAAATAGTTTTGTGCTGCCTGCTACAGGAAACGGCAACCATGCCTTTGTTTCAAAAAGTTGTAGCCATCTTACAAGACTATCTTTGTTTCAAGAGGTTAGGGCTACCTTGTTACAGTCCTGTCTGTTTCAGCAAGCTCATTCTAACTTGCTGAGTTTATGTTCTGCTCCTGAAACCTCAAAGACTATTTTGCCTTCCGAATTCATTTGGAAACCTAAAATATAAAAACCCTATCTTCCTCACATCCAAGGCTGACCTCTTGAACCCCGCCTTAGAGTAGAAATAAAAAAAGCTTGCTTTAATTAATTTTGCCATGATGATTTAGGTCGGTGTCTTTCTCCTCTAATCTTTGGGATTAACACTTTTAAACTTGAGTGTTATAATGCTAATGCTGTCCTTCCAAAGCTGGAGCCCATCTGGTAGTGAGGATTATCTCTCCAATCCCCTTAGTATCTAGTGGGACCAGGAGCAAAAAAATCCCAGGCACCTACTAAATTCCACCAGGAAGCCAAGTGGGTTCTGGAAAACCCTGACGGCTTACAAGAGCCCTAAGAAGTCCAGGATCATGAGGCTCTTAAGGATTAATTATGAACATGAAAAATCTCTAAAAGAAACCCACTAAATTGAAGGGTTCAAATGGTCCCTGAGGATCATGGGAACTCATAGGGGTTGGGGGTTCACAGGAAGTTCTGACCAACTTGGGGTTCTGAGCGTTCCCGTGAGTCTCCGAGGAACCACCCCTCCCTGACGGGTGCTGAAGAAACGCCACGGCGGCGTGCGGCAAGCGATCCCGTCCACGAGACTCGCGGCGGGAATCACGCGAGCTGGGGGGGGAGGGGGGGCGGAGCTTCCGAGAATACCGCAGAGGACGACGGGAACCCGCGCGCCAAATGCAGCCCATAAGCCTGAGCTAGGGAGTAGACCGCCGCCGCCGGGCAAGCTCTCACCAGTGCGCATGCGTGGCTCTCCGGCACCGGTCCGTACTCCAGTGTCGTGAAAATCTCGCGGGCGCAGGGTCGGACACGCGTGGCCGCCATCGCTCGCGGAACGCTTCTGCAGAGGACTGCCTGACGAAGGACCTTGGGAACGTGGAGGTCCGAAGGGCGGCACCGCCCACTCCAGTCAAGGGGGCGGGGCCCACAGGCTAGGGCGTGGCGCGAGCTCGAGGGCGCGTCCCTCCCCCTTTAGAGCCACACCAAGGCTCCCGTGGGCGGACGCTGGGAAATGTAGTTTCCTGGATAACAGCAACGGGGCGGGGCGGAGATCTCCGCATTAACAGAAGGGCTCCAGCGTTGGGAGGACAGCATATTGTCATTTTGACTCTTTAGAAAAATAAATTGGCCGGACGGTGGTGGCGCACACCTTTAATCCCAGCACTAGGGAGGCAGAGGCAGGCGGATCTCTGTGAGTTCGAGACTAGCCTGGTCTACAAGAGCTAGTTCCAGGACAGGCTCCAAAACCACAGAGAAACCCTGTCTCGGAAAAAAAAAAATTGGAGGTGGGGGTAGAAAGAAATAACTGGAGGCAGATAGTGCAGCTTTTAGTCCAAGAGTCCACTAGGGAACAAGAGCTGGCACTGGGTCTCAGGAATAGTTGAAAAGCAATTTTTTTGTTTGTTTGTTTTTAGAGATAGGTTTCTCTGTGTAGCCCTGGGGACAGGAGTCGCTGGGCGGTGGCAGCACAGGCCTTTGATCCAGCACCTGGGAGACACAGACTGGCAGATCCCAGGGTTCGAGGCCAGTCTGGTCTACAGAGCGAGTTCCAGGACAGCCACGGCTACACAGCGAACCCTGTCTTGAAAACCCAAAAAGAAATAGAAAGAAAGGATCAGAGCATAAGACCAAGTTCTCAACACAAAGGAGATTTATTTGCCGGAGAGGGACAATGACAGGGGGATAGGAGGCCATGGCTGGGGGAAGGATATCGGCCCTGGAGGAACAAAGGGCTGCCTCTGGATAAAGTGGAGGCAGACGTGGCACATGGGGAAATGGCAGTTTATAAAGGGAAAGGGGAAGCCCGTGTTATGGTGAGGTGTTTAATTTTAATTGGCCATGTTAATTAGGGTAGCCAAAGGGGACTGGGGACTTGTGATTGCTGGACTACTAGGCCTTGTCGGTCAGCCTCAGGAGTAGGAAGTGGCCAAACAAGGGACTAGACCTTGGTGGCTAGTTTTAGGGGTGTAATCTATGGTTTAGCAGGGGAGAAGGAAAGAGGAAGGGCACGGGCAGCAGAGCCGTGCTTGCCATGCTCTGGCCTTCTAGAGCCCTTTCAGTCCTAGAATTTGCTCTGTAGACCAGGCTGGCCTCGAACTTAGAGCACCACTTCCTTCTGCCTCCCAAGTACTGGGATTAAAGGTGTACACCACCACCACTCAGCTAAAAATATTTGTCTTTTACTGGTATGGGTGTTTCTCCGCATGTATGTCTGTGCACCACGTGGGTACAGTGCCTGTGGAGGCCAGAAGAGGGCCGTGGAGCCACTGGGGCCGGAGTTACAGGCAGCTGTGAACCACCAAGTGGGTGTTAGGAGCTGAACCTGTCCTTTCTGAAAGCAACGTGTTCTTAACCACTGAGTCATCTCTCCAGCACTAATATTTTATTCTTTTTAAAGTAAGCAAAGATTTGCTTTTGTTTTGCGTGCATGGGTATTTTGCCTGCCTGCAGGTCTTGTGAATCACCTGCATGGAGTACCCCCAGGAGGCCGGAAGAGGGCGTTGGATCCCCTAGACCTGGAGTCACCATGTGGGTGCTGGGAATCAAACCCTGGTCTTTTCGAAGACCAGTAGGCTCTCAAAAACTGAATTATCTCTCCAGCTTCTCCTCCCCATGGTTTTTTTATAAACAAAAATCTTCATTTTGCCCAAAAAGGGTAGTTATTAGTATTGAAATTAAGGGTGTGTGTGTTGGGTGGGTCGGACCCAGAGCCTAACACACGATAGACAAGAGCCACATACAGAGATACTAAATTTTCAGAGTGACAGTCCTTTCTGCACTGAACCGCCCGCAGTTGTTAGCGACGAGCAGAAATGTAGGTTTTATTGATTCAAGAAGTATACCGTTTCGCGAGCCGCCTCCGGTCTTACTTTTGATTGGCTAGTTAGGGGGGCGTGACTTCAGCTTTCTAAAACAAATTGTCACGCGGGGCCTGCTTGAATGATTGGGCTTTGAGTCGTAGGAAGTGTGGTTACTTCAGTTCCTTGGTTACAGAGGCCGGAAGTGTGTCTTTCATTTACGCATCGGCCAAACAGGACCGATCAAGGGACCCAACACGCTTGAGGAGACAGTGCTTTCTTCGCACGGAACTGTAGACCATTACCAACACAGATCTTAGAGTTCTGGGTAGAGTGCGGTGTGTTAGAATCGACCGAGGTCCTGCAATAAACTGGCTTCGTTTGTCCGGGAAAAGTTCTCCACGTTTTGAACGCCTAGGACTTTTTTCCAGGGCCATGGCGGAGTCGAAGCTTCTGGCACCAGAGCTAAGCGATGCAGAGTCGATGGGTGATGAGACCGTGCGGTTTCAGGAGATGCTACTGCAGGTGCGGCCTGACTGGACTTTTGGGAATCTGGGTGTTTAAATATTTATACACTGGCGCTCAGAGATGCTGCTTCAGTTCCCAGAATGCCCTGCGGTAGCAAGGAGGCCTATGGGAATCGTAGTTGTTTAGCTCAAAGTTTACTAGAGTTTAAAAGAAATGGAGTTGGGGTGATCTTGGGAGTCCTGTAAAAAGAAAAGGGAGCTAGACTGTATAACAAGTGAGCCGGGTGGTGGTGCCGCACGCCTTTAATCCCTGCACTGGGGATACACAGGCAGGCAGATATCTATGAGTTTGAGAACAGCCTGGTCTACAGAGTGAGTTCCAGAACAACCAGGGTTACACAGAGAAACCCTGATTCAAAAAACAAAACAAAAACAGAAACATATAAATATATAATATTAGTAAAAAACCTGTGCTCCCCAGCCATCACAGACGAGGTGCCCTATAAACATTTGGGAAGCACATGAAGGTTTTGACAGGACAGAAGCATCATGGAGGGTTGTTTTTTTTTTCCCCTCACAGGCTTCCAAAGAGCTCCAGCAAGCCCAGATGGAAAGGTCAGAATCTACACAGATCCGGCCCCAGCCTGGTGAGAAACAGATATAGATATATAGGAACATATATGTGAATGTTTATATACTTATAGATGTATATACACATGTATGTATATGTGTGTATGTATGTGTGTGTGTTTGTGTGTGTACACATAGAGAGATTTAGAGTATCCCAGAGCAAGGATGGGAGACCCTGAGAGAGGTCAGGAGAAACTAGGAGCAGGGGACACAGGATGAAGTAGAGAGATCGTAACTGCATACAAAGGCCTAGAAGTAGTTAGGTGAATGCACAGGTAGGAAGATCAGAAATACTGGACCACAGAGAGCAGAGTGGGAAAGTAAGAAAATGTCAGGGGCCTGAGGGAGGTAGAGGGGAACAGAGGCCAGAGCCAGAGAGTGAGAGGAGCCAGCAAGAGGGTTGAGCAAGGAAAGGCCTGGCACTCAGCCTGGTGACTCCTGAATGTTGTTCTCTGACTATCACACACAACAACTATGGCATGAATGCACATGCGTGCACACACCCACCCACATATACACACAAAGTAAGTGCATGTAATAAAAATTGAAATGGAGAAGGAACTGGGTGTGGTGGTGAGGGCCTGTAATCTCAGGAGGCAGGAGTATCCCAAGTCTGGGCCAGCCTCGGTACAGAGTGAGAGACCTTGTCTCAAAAAAGGGAGAGGGTGGGTGTGGGGTGAGAACGAGACTGCCCAGGGACAGATGGCCAAGATAAACCCACTGTGCAGGTTTCTGCATAAAGACCAACTCATCGGAAGGAAAGGTTTTCATCAACATCTGCCACTCTCCCTCCATCCCTCCCCCGGTGGACGTGACTGAGGACGAACTGCTTCAGATGCTGGAGGAGGACCAAGCTGGCTTCCGAATCCCCATGAGCCTGGGAGAGCCACATGCCGAGCTGGATGCAAGTCAGTACCCTCAGAAGACACCAAGTCTCTTCCCTCAAGATCCTGCGATTCTCAGGAGCTTCCAGTCAGGGTTGGGAGCCAGAGCGGATTGACCCAGGCCTTCAGGGAACATGCCCTGGGGCTCTTCACTGAGTTAAGGAGGCTTCAGAGAAGGCTGCCTGGAACAGTAGTAGTCTGATAGAAGATTTGAAGAGTTAACTGGGCAGTGGTGGCGCACGCCTTTATCCCAGCACTAGGTAGCACAGGCAGGCAGATCTCTGTGAGTTTGCGGTCAGCCTGGTCTACAGAGCGAGTTCCAGGACAGCCAGGGCAGACAGAGAAACCTGTCTCAGGAAAGATTTGAAGAGGGTTTTAAGCAGAGACGACTAGTGAGCTGGGCATGGTGGCTCACTCTTACAGTATTAGCTCTTACTGAGGCAGGAGAATTGCTGAAAGCTAGAGGAAAACTATTATAATTTTATATATACTACTATATATACTACTATAATTTTCCAGAAAATTTATAATTCTGGAAAACTATAAGTTTTCCTCCTTACCTAGGTCATCTTCTCTGGGGTCAGCTTTAAAAATATACACCTCGATAACTTCAGGACATGTGCCATCCAATGTACAAGGATCAATTTCTGGCTCTGCATGAATGGTAACATCAGTTGAATCTTCAGGATCTGTTTTGTCAGTGTCATCCACTAAATGGACAGAAAATGCATTGTAAATCTTCACAGCAGAGTTAGAAACAAAATGTGACTGCTTTTTCCTTTCTGAAACAGAGTTGAAGTGGGCCTGACTAGTTTGGTCAGCATTTGATAAACATACTTGCTCTCCAAGTCTGACAGCCTGCATTTGATCCTTAGAACCAGTAACAGAAAAGAACTGACTTGTGAAAATTTATCTTCTAATCTCCACCTATGTGATCAAACAAGCATACTTTCTCTTTCCCATCTCACACATACACACTATACACACACTAATAAGTAAATTTACAAAGAGGGTAATTAAATGGCTAAGAGCACTTGCTATTCTTAGAGAGGACCAAAGTCTGGTTCCCAGTACCCAAATAGGCAACTCACAAACTTTGGTTCCAGGAGATGCCCCCTTCTGTCTCCATGGACACAGCGCAGATATACTGTACATTCAAACACTCAAAACACACACACACACACACACACACACACACACACACACACACACACACACACACACAATATTAGAGAGACAAAAAAATAGAGGGAGGTAAAATACTCTAATATATAAAAGGAGAGTAAATAGATCTTTAAAACACATATTATCTAACCTGATACATAAAATTTAAATGCAATAAACACCTTTTCCTTCTTTTCAAGAATGTACTGGCGTTTGAACTCGGGTTTATCTGCTATACATGTCTGCTCTACCCACATGCAATTAATGCTTATGAAAATACTTCTATAAGTAATAAAATATTAAGATAAAATGATTTACAATAATCCAAACTCTTGGTATAACTCCAAAGTTATGAAGAATAATGGAAGAACATATTTTCTTAATTAGGAGAATAATGAAAGAACATATTGTCTCAATTATTCATCTATAAATAACAGTATCAACATGCAAAGTCAGTTAACAGTACCCTTCATGTACACATTTTCTTACGGACACCAGATACATACATGGTACACAGACATACATGTAGGCAAAACACCTATAACACATAAAGTAGTAATTTCAAAAAGTTGCCAAAATTTTTAAAAACAAAACCAAATCAAACCCAACAAAAATAAATGTGCAGTGCTGATGATGGAACTCAGGCTTTGGACTTAGTAGATAAACATGCTACCACTTAGCTATATACCAACCCCTATTTCTTCAACTTTTGCTTAGACAATGAAAAGAAATTCCTGATATGATGTATCTTATTTAAGAAAAAATACTTTAAAATGAAATAACTATGCCATTAAAATTATATCATTTCAACTGTTCAAAGAAAATACATTATGCTGTATGTATTTTCATATAAGTAAAATGACAAAAATCTAAGAGTAAGGAAAACAATGTTGTCCTGAAATAAAATTTGCAGTAACTGCAATGAAAACACCTTGCTAGCATAGTGATCATTCTATAACCTAGCAAATAGTATTAATTTCCCAATGCCTTGTCTTTATTCTAGTATACAAAGATACCATAATCATACACCTACAAGCTTACTAAAACTTGTTTTAACACTGTGCTGTATAGTTTTGTGTCAACTGAACACAAGCTAAGTCGTCTGAGAGGAGGACTTCTGTTAAGGAAATGCCTCCACAATATTGATATGCACACGGATCTGTAAGCATTTTATTATTAGTAATTGATGGAGGAGGGTCCATTCATTGTGGGTGGTCCTGGGATCTGTAAGAAAGCAGGCTGAAAAAACCACAAGGAACACACCAGTAGGCAGCTTTCCTTAATGGACTCTGCATCAGATCCTGCCTCCAGGTTCTCACCCATTTGAGTTCCTGTATTGACTTCCTTCAATGATGAACAAGGATATATTAGTGTACACCTAATAAACCCTTTCCTATCCAAGTGTTTTTTTGTCATGCATGTCATTGCAGTAAAAGATACCCTAATCAAAACATAAAACCTACAAATACAATTAACACTATTTTAAAAAGAAAACAATAACACAAGTGTAAATGGCCTCATACTTAACTATATAAGCATAAATTGATACTAAAAGTGATAACCACATATGACTTATAAAATACCAAACAGTTTTATGTTAGAAAAAAAAGACCTAAATCCTAGAAGACAAAAGGGAAATGAGGTGAAGAAATAGCTTGATAAAGAACAGCCCAAACCTACAAATATTATTTATATAAAACCCATAAAATTTTAAGAATAAAAGGGCTCAAATGCAGAGACAACATAATTTTACTGGCCAAAATAAGGAAGAAATTATCTTTTGGTGTTTGAAATGAGGTGTCACTATGAAACCATAGCTGGACTTTGAGAATTGATGATATTCCCTTCTTTAAACCCTTAGTGCTGGCAGACAGGAGGAGGATTCTTGAAGCTCACTGACCAGCCAGTCTAACAGAACCGATCAGTCACCTTCAAGTACACTGAGTGATCTTGGTCTCAAAGAAAAAAGGTATAGAAAAGCCAAGGATAGAAACTGTGTTAATCTCTAACTTCCACATTCAAGAATACACCTGTGATTGTGCACCTGAATGTACATACAGAAACAAGTATGTATATTTACATAGAAAACAAAACAGAAAAAACATTTCGTTGATAATTCAGGCATGTTGGCACACACTTAAAACTCTGGTACTTATCAGTGTCAGACAAGAGAATCAGAAGTTCGTGTTCAGCATAGAGTGTAGTGAGACCCTGTCTAAAGCAAAACAGGCAGAAACAAACAAAACAAAAAGGTTTGATAATCACTGTAGCTAAAGACTTACAAGAAATTATAAAATAGTACTCACAGTTGACTTGGATGTTATCTTGTTGCTCCAAAGGCATACCATTGGAATCTAAGACTGCTTCAGAAGCACAATCTGCTACTAATATTTCTGAAATGTCAGCTGTCAGAGGATCACTGATGACTTCTGCTTCTACTATGCTATCATGAATCACATGCTCAATATGTTCCACGTCAGACATGTGCAAAGCTTCACTCATCAACACATGTTCAGACATAGTCAATGAGGTTGATGTAAAACTAGAACCTAAAATGTCTGGAACTGGGAACTGTGCTAAAGACAATTCTTCAGTTATATCTAAATCAAGCACTTGCTCAGGAATGATAATGTTATCACATATATCTGTTTCCTCTAAAATAGGTGAATAACAAACATCTTCAATAACAAAGTTTTCAATACCATCTTGGATTATAATTGAGTCTGGCTCATCAGGAATAAAATTTTGAATAGTTACATCTGAATTGGATAAAAAAACAGTTTCTTGTATTTCCAAAATATACTGATCACCATCCATGTGTATTGTATCATCTCCTTAAAAATTAAAATTGAAAAGACAATTTTCAGGTAAGCATACATATCTCCAAGTACATGGTTTTAAATTTCTATGAGGAAAACACACACTATCACCTTAGTATAAAGTGAGCTATGTAAGAAAAAGTAATTAACAAAAGAACTTAAAAATCTTAGTTTCCATCAACAAAAAAGCAGCAAATCTGGGAAAACCAGTTTTAGGATAGTCATAGAGGAAAAGTATTTAGAAAAGAAATTTTAAGGTATTAACATAATGTGTTGAAAATGTCAATTTAACATTTTGCTAAAATGTTAAATGAAATGTTATGATTAAGTAAAAAGCAAACAATACAATTTAGAAAGCAAAACATTTCTGAAGTTTCATTTCCCTTTTCCATATTTTATCACTAAGACAAACCACTTAGTTTTTATCCTCTTTCTTTCCTTAAAATTTGTATTTCTCCAACTTGTTTTTGAGAAGTAGCATCTATAGCTTAGTCTGTGATACTGCCAACTATAAATAAAGTCATCTTTTGTGGAAGTAAGATTAAAACATTCAAGGAATAAATGAAAAGTGAGGCAAAGTCCACAGTTATGGACAACAGACAACTGGCTGAAAAAAGATATCTGACTGGATAGTTAAATGAATAAAACTTCTGCTGTCGCCGGGCGGTGGTGGCGCACGCCTTTAATCCCAGCACTCGGGAGGCAGAGGCAGGCGGATCTCTGTGAGATCGAGACCAGCCTGGTCTACAAGAGCTAGTTCCAGGAAAGGAACCAAAAAGCTACGGAGAAACCCTGTCTCGAAAAATCAAAAAAAAAAAAAAAAAAACTTCTGCTGTCTTTCAGGAATTAGATGTTAAGGACATCGGAGGTGGGACATAGACCAATATGCATTGAGATATAAGCTGTATATCTGCAGTATTCCCTTAGTTCTTCCTCTAAAGAATCAATTTTCCAAATCCCACAGAAGTTTTTTAGACTAAAACTAATACAATTTCATTCTGTAGTTAAGGAATGAAAGTAAAATGAATGAGCCATTAAAAACTCATTGAGATTAAATGATTTAACCAGTACCACAAAACTGGCACATAATAATGACATTCAGTAAATTCTGTTCAGACTGTAAGTCACAAATGGAAACAGAATTTGTCTTATGGAGGGAAGGATGTATAAAACAAGAAAATGTAACATAAAAAATCAAATAGCAAGACAATTCTAACTTATAGAAAAACCAAATGTAGGGGCCTCCTACGTTAAATGTCATTTGCATGAAAGACAGCATTTAGTGACAAAAGAACTAGATAAAAGCCCAAATTTATGTACATGTAAGTTGTGACTTTGGGCAAATCATTTAACCTCTGAATTTCAGTCTCCTCTTTAAATTAGGATAGTGGTACCTGTCAGGCATGTCATAGGAGAGTGATGATGTTCAAATGGGAATGTATGCAAAGCATCCTGCAAAACTATAAAAAGACTTTTTATTATTATGATGACAGTGAAAATTTATCTATAATACACACTATTATAGATAAATAACTTTAAGTATTAATTATCTAGACTAAAACATAATTGCCCTCCAATCTGCTACCAAGTTCTAAGATTACATATGGTAAAACAAAGCAAACTAAGAGCTCTGAAATTTTTCTTCAAAGAACTTAATCTCCTGTTTTTGAAGTATGATGTTTCAATATGTTATGAAAAATTAATTATAAATTGCATTGCCTATTAAAAACTGAAACCACCAAAACGTGATTCAAAGGACTATGAAAGACACAGAGAAAACTTAGAAAGGTTAATAAGAAAAGTTTAATAAAAGTAAATTCCTAAATAGTTACATATTTTCTTATAGAGCATTTTATAATATGGCAAATGCAAAATGAATAGTAATCTGAAACTTCATTACTAGAACTTCATGAATAATTTTCCATATATAGTTTGGGGCTGAAAATAAACTATCCTCCTGATGCAAACTTTTTTATAGGGAAACATGTGAACCAGAAGGTTGTAAAAGTAATATAGGATAAACACAAAAGGGTTGGAAAATACCTAAATTAAGTAAATATTAGGGAAATGACAAAATCCAAGATCGAGGATCCAAGACTAAGAGTGATAAAATGATTTTGTTATATGTAGTAATAATGAGAAGCCAGGTGTGGCAGTGCACACCTTTAATTCCAGCATTCGGGAGACAGACATGGAAGATCTCTGTAAGTTTGGGGCCAGCCTGGTCTACAATGTGAATTCCAGGAGAGTCAAAGCTATTATTTCATCTATCGCATTCCATAATGCAAATATGTTCACAATATAAAAATCACATTCCCATGAATGTGGAAAGTTTTGGCTTATCTAATGTGAAATTTTTTAATGTAATTCAAGTATAATGAATTTAAGGTCATGGATAGGATGAGTGTACCCAGTCTCAAAAGATGAATTGGAATTTTACAAGACAATGTAGAGAGGCAAGTTTCCTGCAGACAGGCTGCTCCAACACTACCTGCCCCTCACTGACAGAACTCTGTAAGCTACAAGGTCCACTTTGTCTACAAACCCACCCATCCCCTGACCTCAGAGGAACTTGGAACCACATGTTGCAGCTGCACACAGAAGACCAAGAGGTGAGTGATCAACCAGCCGGACACCTCACTCTCTAGGCCCTCCATACCAGGGCAAAACCGAGGGCTCCCCCATAGGCTCACCCATAGGCTCACCTTCCCTAGATAGCAGCAGGCAAGTTTCCTGCAGGTAGGCTGTTCCAACTCCCCTATATAGATCAGACCTTGAAAGCTAGCTACAAGGCCCACTCCACCCCAAACCCACCCATCCCTTGTCACCTCAGAGAAATTCTGAACCACAAGCTGCAACTGCACACAAGGGACCAAGAGGTAGGTTATCAGTCAGCCATCTGGACTCCCCTGCTCACTAGGCCTTTGGTACTAGGACAAAACTCAGGGCCATCACCCACCTGCCTCAGCTTCATAAGCTAGCCTTCGGGCAAGTTTCCTGCAGGTAGGCTGTCCAACACCCCAATCCCATCTATCAGACTCTGTGACCAAGAGGTGAAGGATCAAGCCAGCCAGCTGGACTCCCCACGCTATAGGCCCTCCATAAAGGGGCAAGACCCCAGGTCCTCCCCTACCTGCCTCAGCTTCTCTAGCCAGCAGCAGGCAAGCATCAACAAGCTCCCTATCCCACCACTCATCGACAGAAACCTGTAAGCTACAAGGCCCACTCTGCCCACAAACTCACCCAACCCTGGTTGACCTCAGAGGAACTCTGAACAATGGGCTGCAAATGCACACTGAGGACAAAGGGCAGAGGAGCAAAGAGAGACTTCAGAGGCTACCTAGAGACACAGACAGCGACTGCAAGGACTGAACCAAGAAGCAAAGATACTGCCAGTACCAACTGGTGGAAGAGATGGGTAGGTGCCAATGCAAAAATTCATTCAACAAACTAAAAGGCAACATTGGTAATACCAGAACCCTGAGGTCATACAGCAGGAAGACTTGATCATCCCAACCCAGAAGAAGCAAAGTATCTTAAATATAACTTTATAAAGATGACAGAGACCCATAAACAGAAAATGAAAAATTCCTTAAAGACATGGAGGAAAAGACCAACAAAAGTTTGGAAGAAAACAGTAACTCGGTCCTTGGACTTCCCACAGGTCAGGGAACCCTGATTGCTCTTTGGGCTGATGAGGGATGGGGACTTGATCGGGGGAGGGGGAGGGAAATGGGAGGTGGTGGCGGGGAGGAGGCAGAAATCTTTAATAAATAAATAAATTAAAAAAACAATAAAACACATTAAAACACAAAAAAATAAATAAATATATTAACACGCAAAAAAAAAAGAAATTTAAGAAGACCAAGAGAAAGCAAACAAACAGGTGAAGGAAATAGTTCAAGAATTGAAAACTGAAATAGAGGCAATAAAGAAAACAGAAACCTAAGGAATTCGAGAAATAAAAAATCTGGGTATATAAACACAAACTACCAATGCAAGCATAATCAGCAGAATACAAAAGATGGAAGAAAGAATCTCAAGTGTTAAAAATACTGTAGAGAAAATAGATTTATCAGTCAAAGAAAACGTTAAATCCAACAAATACTTAACACAAAACATCCACGAAATATTGGATGCTATGAAGAGAACAAATTTAAGAATAATAGGGATAGAAGGAGAAGAACTCTAGCTCAAGGGCACAGAAAATATATTAATAGAAGAAACCTTCCCCAACCTGAAGAAGGATGTGCCCATGAAAATACAACAAGTAGAAATTCCTAGGAAAAAGTAGTTATTCTTGTAAAAGTATCTTACAAAATAGTTTTTTAGTCAAAATTAGAGAGAAAATGTAAAATAGGTCACTTCACACTAATTAAGAGAACAATCCATCCAGAGAACAATGATATGTTCCAAACAGAGATGCAACTGAAGTTTATAAATAAATTCTAATAAATACAAATTCACAGATTAACATAAGTATAATAGTAGTAGATGATTTCAATACTTCATTCTAATCAATTACCAGGTCTTTCTGACAAAAAAATTAAGGCTGTATTAGCCAGAAATGTCATAGAACAACAGGAGTCTAAAATACTCAACCCAAAACAGCAGGATCCACATTTTCCTCAGAAGGCCATAAACTTCCTCTATAAAGTATGTCTTAACAACTACGAGAAATTTAAATGAAACATGTATTCTATTTGGTCAAATGGAGTAAAGCCTCAAACTAATGTAGATTAAACAATCTGCTACTGAATGATGAAAAGACAACTGAATGATTAAAGAGAAATACAAAAGTTCCTGGGTCAAAACAAAAGCACAAACACAACCAAACTAAATCTATAGGATAAAAACAACAAATGTAGTCCTAAAAGGGAAGTCTATAGGTCAGTGTGCCTATATTAAGAAATCAGATCTCACCAATAACTTAATGATATACATTACATCTCTGAAAAGACACAGATAAGGAAATAAAACCGAAAGAGATCTTCATCA